AGAAAAGCTTCTTCACGCGGACGGCTGGTTATCTTTTTCAGGGCCACGACCGACCCCGCCACCTTTGCAGTGTCCTTGCAGTATGGGAGCGTGCCTTCTTTCGGACTCCTCAACTTTCTCAGAAGCGCAAACAAGTACCGAAAGGGAATCTTCCTGACGCAGCCCGCGGGGCGGCTCACCCGTCGATGTTCATGGAGGTCCATGTGAGTATGTACATGCCGGGCTGGATCTTCTTCTCCAGGTCGTCCAGGTGCGGCCCCAGCAGCGGCTTGGTCACGGGCAGCACCGCGCTCATGACGCGCTCGTGCTCGCGCAGCGCGTAGCTCAGCTGGTTGAAGTAGTACTTGAACTTCTCCTCCTGGAGGAGCACCATCTTGGCGGCCTCGGGCACCTCGATGCCCATGCGCTGCAGGTACTTGGTCTCGCGCATCAGCTGCATGATCTCCTTGTCGAAGTTGACCAGCAGCGACCCGCTCTCCGGGTGCCGCACGATCAGCGTCGCCTGCAGCCCCGCCTTGCTTGCGTCCACGCTCCGGATCCACGCCTGTGAGGAAGCGACATGTGTCAAGAGGTGCAGCTCGCGACAGTATGCGCCCTCAGATTCATCCAGGACGAGAGAGTGGATTGGAAACTTGCTGGAGTGGAAACGAAAAAGTATCTCAAGGTGAGATGCTTTCGCTGAAAACAAAAGTTCAGTCGCTCTCTGCCCTCAAAAATGCCGGTTTTAAGTTCCCTCCTTTCAAGCAGAGGCGCAGTTGCCTGCAACTCAAGCCACACAGAGATGGCACGGACGCTTGCGGCAACTCTCAAGTAAGAAGCTGGAGTCCTTGGCATCCAGACCTGAAGGCTAACAATTCCACAGCCCGTGCGCACCTGGTGCCAGAGCGTTTCGAACTCGACGAGCGCCTTGGCGACCTTGTTGTAGGTCTTGATGATGCGCTTGGACTCCTTGGTGGCCATGATGGTCTTGTTGTGCGCGAACTTCTTCATCGGCTCCTCGATCCGCCGCAGCAGCTGGCGCGCCCACATGATGCTGCCCGCCACGGGCGGCGCGTTGCGCACCAGCGGCGGCGCGTGCTTGTACTTCTCGTAGATCTTCTGCACCGCCTCCAGGTCCAGCCCGTAGTTCTGGAAGATCACCATGTACCTGCGCGCCCAAAACTCCCGGACTCAGCATGTAGGGACTTCAGTCCAGCCGCAGCTTCGCAGGATCGAAGATTAGCGCTCAACGACCTCATCGCCTGAGGTCAGCCCTAACAATCCAGCTAAGCGTTATCCTATAATCCTCATCATAGTCTGGAGTTAGCGCGGAAGAAAGCGCCCGGGATCCACCGACAGATAAAGGGAAACATTAAAAATCAAATTTGAGGCTTCGTATTCCGGCGCGTATGCGTCGCGAACCGACTCGAACGGCTGTCTGCAAAGACAACTCCTGGCCTTCAGATTCATTCGCATGCAATATGAAAGGGAGCACTCGCTGGTCAGCTCACTTGTCCTCGAGGTCTGCCTTGAGCGTGTCCCGCTGCAGGATGGCCTGGAACTGGCGCAGCAGGCTGAGCGCGTGCTCGGTGGACGTGATGTTCTCAAAGCTCGCGTTGATGAAGCCCTGCAGCCCGGCCTCCAGGTCGCTGATGTTCACGTTGAACTCCAGGTAGTCGCGGTCAAACTGCCGCGGGAAAAAGCGGAATAATCAGCGCTGTGAGCCGCGTGCTGAAACAAGAAACTCTGCGAGGCTCGCATCGTCCAATCTGCCTCTGACGTAGTTCATTCCTGTTGGGCTGCAGGCGCCGGAAAAGCTCTCGGTTTTGGGAGGAATCAACTCGAGTATGTTCGATAAGTCTAGTGTTCTGCCAGAAAGCATTTCCTCGTACCGAGGATCCGAACCGCACCATAGCCCTGTACACTGGAAAGGCACGCCTCGCATTTTCCACTTCGGAGCCTTGAAACGTCGCTACTAAAATGATTAGATTCTTTGCCGCTTCATGTTTTGGAACTAAGAATGCAGATGTGACAGCAGAAATTGGAGATTGCAAGGTGCGGCCCTCACCTGGCTCTTCATGTAGTCGAGCAGGTCGTAGGGCTTCTTCTTGAACTCGTCCACGATGGCGAAGAAGTTTTTGGTCATGTCGGCGAGGCCCTCGATGTGGCTGTGCTGCGCGAGCGTGCTGAACTGGTGCACCGTCGTGAACATGTCCACCAGCTTCGTCACCCGCTTGCAAAACAGGTCGAACCGGCTGAAGATGCGCTGCTCGTTGAAGTCAAATTGCTTGCCCTTGGGCTGGGTTAGCAGCCGGTCGCGGGTTAGCCGGTACTGCTCCTGGTACTGCTCGTTCAGCCGGACGCATAACCCGAGGTTAGCGATCAGGGTTTGCTTGTCCTGGTCCCAGAGCTTGCCGGGCGCGGTGATGAACTCCTTGGACTTGGTGATCATCTGGTTGGTCACCTTGACGAAGAGCGTGGTCATGCGCTCCGGCGTGTTGTAGTAGCGCGCGATCGTGTGCATCATCTTGATGTTGTTCATCAGCGCCGGCAGGCTGTCGATGATCGCCTGCGGGATGCCTGCAAGGACAGTACAAAAAGCGCTGAGGACCTGAAATCTACGAAGGGAAAAGTGGGGAAATGCTGGGGCAAAATCTGTCCAGGTTTGGCGGTCAGCAAGGGGGCGGTGGTGGCACACAACTTGTGATGCCATTTCACCTTGTTAGACGGCCAAAGCAACCGTCAGAAGGCAGGGCGTAGATTAATTCTGGTGTAAGCCAGAGTACCCCACAAGGACGTGAAAGCAACTTGCTTCCTTCCATTCTGTTTCAGCTTTGTTCCTGATTTGCGGCTACCGACAGGAAGCCTCTCGCCTCAGACGTCAGTCAGTGACAAGCGCGGGTCCAGGAAACTTTTTATGGAAGGCCAAGCAGGAGCCTTCCGTCCAGTACGGCTAGAGAGATTCTGCAATAACGGCCGCTCAGGAAACTTCTTTCGAAAGTATACGTGCGCTCACCGGTGTACATGGGCTCCAGGCTCTTCTCCAGGGTCGTCAGATACTTGACGTTGTCCTTGGCCTCGTTCGCCGCATCAGTCACCCGCGTGTCGATCGCCTTCCAGTTCCGGTGGGCCTTGCTTCGCCCCGCCATCGTCACGCCCATCACCAGCTTACACTCCTGCAAACGGATTGGAGCCGATCGGGACACGGCCCAAAGGTTTCGGCAAGCCAGAGGCTCCTAAATCCTCCAAGTGCGCTGCCAGGAGTCTACCGGGCCTCTCCAGCGGGAAAAGCAAAACACTACCCCAGAAGTAAAGGAGCGACGAGTTAACCGTATTGTTTGCCGCACTTGCTGCCCGCGCTTCAAAGCCCATGACGGAGCTTGCACTCTCACCTTGCTCTTGAGCTGCTCGGTGATGGAATTGAACTTGGCCATTCGTCGCCGCCAGTATTCGAGCTCTGTGTCCGGTCCGGCCATGTCGCCGTCCTTGCGCCCGTCGTCCGCCTCCTCCAGCAACCGCTCCGTCTGCGTGCACCACTCGTCCAGCACCTGTGCATGGGGAGGGTGTGAGGGTGTGACGGTTTAGAAGGTCCAATAAACAATCGGCTCAGATCGTTCCCATGCTGTTGGAAGGAGCCGCAAGCGCTGGGCAACTACCAACGAGCGGAGAACAGCCCATCTGTCACGCCGTGCGCTTCCGCACAGTTTGCAAAGCTGACATTGGCTATTCAAGATTGAGGAAGAAATGACTTCAGCGTCGTTTCCAATGAAACCTTAAGGTTCATCTAGACCTCCTCCAGAGGGCCCAAGATCAACATTCTTTGAGGGTTCGCCAAAACCGTGACCGCTCCTAGGGAGGTCCATACGTAAGCCACCTCGAAACAAGTCTCATTTTTCTTTCAGCACTTTCTCTTCTGAGTCTTTTAGTGATAGATAGGAACTCTGCGCACCTGCTCGAAATGCTCGGCCACCTCTGCATCCGCCGCCGCCTTGTTGAACGCCTGTGGCTTGAGCTCAATGCCGTCCACGTATCTCTTGTCGGGCTTGCGCAGCTCAACCCCCCCCTGCAGGCTGTTGACCGCCTCGCTCAGCGTCTGTCCATACTTGAGCGCGCCCTGTAGAAACTCCTGCACGTTCTCCTCCGTGCACTTGCCCCACGTCGCCTGCTCCTTGAACGTCGGCAGGTACACGTCAGCAATGAGCTGGCGGAAGCTCTCGAGCGCCCCCCGGCAGATTTCACCCATCTGCATACCCCAGAGGCGCGACGGGTTTAGTTCTGCCTTGGGGCACTTGAGACTCGATGTTCAGGGGCTCCCGTTGGAAGCTGATGGCAAGGAAAGCATGTCCACTGGGTCCGGTCCAATTGGACCCAGTCAAGAAGCAGTCAAGAAGCAAACCCTATGCGCGTCACACAAACATTGGTTTCAGAGGGTAATTAGCAAGCACCCGCACCTTGCCCTCGAGCAGTGTCTTTAGGCAATATAAATGTTGGGCAGCTTACCAGTAAATCCTGCTCAACTGTCTTCTCAGCCACAGCTTTGGGACAGTTGCGGATAAAGTACACAGCTTTGCCTCGAAGGCTGTCAACCTGAAACAATTGTACATAGATCTGTCAGAAAATTCTCTGGGAGGAAACCACGGTAGGAGTCCGCAATGCAGTCCTTTTCTCTACCTTCATTCTGGCCTCTCCTTTTGCAGGATTACAAGTGTGCACTTTTCTAATCAAGTAGCGGCCCTGAGCATCCTGCGTGATTTGTACGCCAGCTCAATAATGCTCAATCTCGGATTTGCAGAAGCTGTGCGACTTGATTGCAGAACTTCATCAACGTATGGCCTGCCTGAGTTTGCACAAGTACAATGCGCAAATGTAGAACGGTCGGCACTCAGAGTACTCAAGCTCGTACTTTGCAACTGTTTCAGTCGCAAGCAGGACAGCCACTTGGCGAAGCACCATCTGATTGCCCAAGGCTACTGACCGGCGTGCCCCAGTAGGGCGACCACTCACATCTGAGGTGTTGAGGCTAAGCTTTGGGATCTCCCCCTGCCGCACAAAGTCCCCCTCCGCGTTCAGCATCTCAGGGACCTGGTAGTAGAAGATGATCTTGGGAGGGCCGGTGCCCTCAAAGAAGGCGCTCATCTGGGCGGCATTGGACTCAGTGGAGCTGCATACAAAGGCTGGTATTTTGCAACGCTGATTCTGCAAAGCAGGATTAGCCGATGGTTACTGCTGACTGTCTGGCCCTGAGGGCTGTATATCAAAGGTGCTATCTGCAAATAGATGCAGCTCGATGGGGCCCTGGAACGGTGGTGTGGCGGTTTTGTAGGCTGTTGCTGGGTTTCAACCACCTTCTACACAGAACGGCACTTTGCTCGCTTTCACTCTGGTATCCTATTGCGTTCATCGTAGTCGAATGCAAGCGTTCGCCAAATACCTGTTTGGAAGCACCGGTGCTAGTAATGCCTCGTGCATATGTGATCATAATCTCAAAGGGCTGAAGCACCATGTTTTGCTGATTGGAGCGATGTAGTTGCTCCCAGATGGATTTACTTGATCTTTTGCAGTCTACCAGCTTGATCTGAATTGCCTGAACACTATTCACAAGTATGTATAATCAGGCACAGTGCGTTGGAACCCCTCAACCGACCCACTCTTACAACGAGATTGCAAGTGCTCTGAGTTTGAATCACCATCACAGGGGTGGCATGCAGCTCACCTGAAGAAGCTTAGAGCGATGCTCGAATCAATGAGCTCGAATGACTCCATTAGCTGCAAGCAACATGTTCTTCCACATAATCAGGACAACGCAAGAAAGGCAGGCACCCGCAAGCAGAGAAACTGCTGTGCCCCTTGAGTGGTGTAATGCTCAGGCGCACCTCACGCAGTGCCAGCATGTTCATTTGCTCCTACAAAAGTGCCTCCAAGTGCCTGGTTAGCACCGAGGAGATGTAGCAGTGATGATCAGGACCCAAAAATGTGGCGGTCGTGCGCTCTCAACAATCATGTGAGCAGCTGACTTCACTCGTCATGTGACAATTGCGGAGGAAAGTTGCTGGTGTCAACAGAGGAAGAGCTCACCTTCTGCGCCACCCAACGGTGCCTGCCGTCGAGGGCCATATTGGCTGTCCAAAGGCCCTTTCAGCCCCGCTTACCTTAGGCCTTCTCAGACTGACTAGGATTGCTTAAACTGAGGGAAGACTGACTAGAACACAGGACTAGACGATCTGCACATCCGCTCTCTCTTGTTGAGGGCTTGCCGCCCTCCAATGTGCTGGGTTTTACCCTCGCCTCTTCTCAGACCATCATTCCAGCATAGCTCTTCTTGAGCCAGTTCTTGCATATTCAGCCAAATTGGAACCTAGCTGCCAATGAGCAGGCTTCTCGCAAGCACTGCGGCGTGAGGAGCTCGAAACGAGCTCCTGCTAGTAGGCTCCAAATGCTACATTGCTAGGCCCGGCTCTTGAGACTAGGAAAGTTTTTGTGCAAGCTTCTCATTCTTGGAAGCTCTCCACCGGCACTAAGCTCCAAAGGCCTGGCGAGACTCAAGAGGCTTTTCGACGGTTCACAGACGTTTGCCAGGACTGATCGACGGACGTGGTCTATCGGCAACGCAGGCGTGCGTTCACACGCACTTTGCAGCTGAGACTTTGATACTGATATTATACAGTATTACATAGCTATAAAGCTTGGGCAGATTCAGGGCATGGGCATCCTTACACTTCTCAGTCTCTCCCGGCTCTTTGCAGCTCGCTGAAAACCATTTGATTGACAACAGCATTTTTCCTGTCGCACAAAGTGGTGACGACTGCATTGCGGGATCCCTGATGCGGGGAGGCAGCTTGAATTTGATCGTGGCCCCCTGGATGCTGCTTTCAAAGACTGCCGATGGTCCAAAGAAGACAAGCTGAATTCTGCTCTTCTCAATTCGTTTAGCCAGCCTCCCAAGAAGAACAGATGCTCCCTGGCTCCAGCTGGCTGCATTTCCACAGCTGCGGAAACTGTGGTCAGGACGGGCACTGCTCTAGCGCGGGCCCAAAGCTGTGAGTGCTTCGCGTCTACGATAAAGTCGCACGGCTGTCAAATACCAGACTTGTAGTCTTTGAAGTCAGAAAAGAGTTGCAGGTTCACAAGCATTTAACAGCAAGACTACCATGTTTAAGATACTGAAGTAACAGGGTACAAGAGAGGCGCCATGTCGTGGACGGATGTTGACGCGTTTTTGGTCCGCGTAAATCGACTCCAGCCAAGCAATGCCGCAGGATTACTGGCGCTGTTGGAGACGTTTGTGGCCGCAAACGAGGACCCAGGCCGAAGCCCAAATTTTAGGAACCAGGTGAGCTGACTTCTGATCTGGCAAACAGTTTTGCATCCAGAGTATAATGTATTGCCCAACTAAAAATGTGGCCGCAGGTGGACAGGCGCCCAAGGCTAAGAATTTTTCGTTCACTCAAATCCACGTTCAGCATTCCTTACTGCTGTTATGGGTGAATGAAGGAGATGGTGGCACCTCAATATCGTCCTCACTGGTGCCAAATTTTCATTTGGAAATGAGCATTTCGCAGATACTCTTGTTGTATTGGTGGTGGTGGACTATAAGCAGACTTTGTTCAGCAAAGGATATAAAACTTTTGAGGTTTTGTCCAGTTCGTGCTTGAGCTGAGTTCAAAAGCTGAGCATGCAGAGAAGTCACATACCTTGCAAGTGAAAGCTCCTGTGAAGGAAACCAGGCTATCTTAGCCCGGCAATACGATCCATCAGGCTAAACGGTTTGCAGTATTACAAAATCATTACAGCAAAGGAGACTCAGGAAATCCTCTGGGCTCAGAGTACTTTGCATTTACATTTTGGAACGGCACTTGTCAGAGCAGGTAGAAGGTTAAGAACTTGCCTGCCTTAGATTCAGATGCCCATGACAATGCTGCACATAGTCTCCACTCATATGCTGCATCACATAGTTCACCCAAGTTGTACATGAACTTTCACTCGATTACGCTCCCTTCATGAATTCTTAAGCTTGAAAAGTGACCCTTTGTTTCAAAACCTCGGCGCTTGAATAGCAAGAGCTCGTCGGCAGCCGAAAGCTGCTCAAGCTCATTATTTGCAGGGCCAGTACGCCATGCTTCCGCAACCTCCTCAAGTTGATAAGCTCCAAAGGAAGCTGGAACCAAGCAGCACCCACAAAGAGCCATGGCAGCCATAAAGTGCTCAGCTTACTACTGTTGATGCCACAAGTCCACTGCCATGCCACAACTTCAGTGTCTTACAACCACAGACTTGTGTGAATATATGCAGGGGGCCTGGCAGAGAGCAGCACAGGCTTTTAGTCCTTGCAGTGGTGAAAGAGCTTTTATTTGCGTACACGCCAATCTACTTTTTCCTGTCAGAATGCGGACTCGCTCGACCGCCTGGTGTCGCTCCTCAAGGACCCAGGCATCGAGCAGCACCCGGGGCTGGCACTCGCAGCATTAAAAGCGCTCAAGATCCTCTCCCGAAAGAAGCCGAACCGGCTAGCCATGCGAGGGGACGAGAAGCGCGGAGGGGCGATCCAGGCCGTCATGCGCTTTCTGCAGGTAGAAAATCTGGAAGCATTTTGGCATGTTCGAGCCACTGAAAACGTTGCGCATATGTAATGTGGCGCTATGGTCATGTAAGGGGCTCTGTCCCAAATCGGGAAAAGTCAACGAGGATTCGATTTGTTGGTGCACCTTTTCTTGTTGCGATCTTTTCAGCAGATTCAGTCTTGTCCTCACGACTCTTGCCCTTGGTAACCACTTGTAGTCAGCAGTGTGTAGAGCACGGGGATCAATAGCCACCCTGAAGTTGGAATAAGGTACTCTGCGTGTCCGCAAATTCCCTCACCCACCAGCTCTGCTCGAAGCCAACTCAAAAGCTAAGCATCGCCTTTGTTGGTTGCGTTCAGCCCTCAGCAAGGCCGTGCCGTGCTAAGTTTGATTGTATAGTTGTTTCCCTGTAAAATCGTTCTACAAGGGAGTATGCATTCAGCGAACATCCTCGTGACAAACACGACTGCAGGCGCCTGGCAAAGTGGACAACCGCATTGCCGCTGAGGGCGCAAACGTCATCCTGAACGCGTGCTACGAGAGGGAGAATGTGGAAGTCGTGCTGCAGCACCAGGGGACTGCGCCACTGGTGAGTGTGCATACATCATGCTGACGTCAGTGTTCGATGGTCTGCCAGGGCAGTCTCTAGGGTCGCTGCTGGTGCTGGGCTCCTGATCTTTTCTGCAGGGACTCAGCTCTCAAGTGAAACGGGCTCGATCCGCACGGGTTCGGAGGGAAAGGCGGCATCATGCTAAGTGCTGCTAAGAGCCAAGGTGTTTTCTCGCCAAGGCTATCGAAATAGCCATACGCACAAGATTTTCAACTGGGCTTCAAGTTTTCCTTCAGGGGTCCAGTAGGGAACTACCTAGGCATGGTGGCCAGAAACGTATCCTTCAACATTCTCCGGGAGAGGCTTTCGCTCTGCTGCTGCCGCCCGCGCCTGGCGTTCCACCAGGATCAAGAGCGGCCAGAGCTCCTTTGAGAAAATATTCATAGACATATTGCCGAGTTCTACATTTATTTACTCAATCTGCAGGTCAACTTTTTGGGCGCTGCCGACAAGGACCTCCAGGCGAACGCGGCCGGCGCGCTGCAGAGCGTGTGCTTCCAGGCCAAGGGGCGCACGGTGGTGCGGGAAGCGGACGCCATCCCCCCGCTCATCTCCCTCCTGGCGTCGGACAGCCTCAAGGTGAGTGTCAAGGGTCTGGGACGCAAGGGCGTGCGGAATCATGAGGCATCGAGACGCCACGATTTCAATGGGAAGGACTCATGCATTCCATCTGGGAAAAGAGCGGCTCGGTAATGAATTTGCGAAAGATCCTTGTTGGACAAGACTCATGCTGTTGGACATCGCCAGACAAACGACGTGATCAGGGAGCTGCTGTACGAGCTGGAGAGTTGCGGCCCAGAAATTGTTTTACTTCACCTTCTACGACACCCTTCGTTGACACGGAAACTCAAGCGTCCGCAATCAGACCTGGATGACTGCTAGAATCCGAACCAGGGGGGTGCTTGCAGGAACCTGACAGGGCGTCCGCTAATATATTCTCATGTAATCAGACCAAACTGCTTGCTTTCGAATCAACGCAAGAGAACTGCGTGTTGTTTACAGGTTCGTACGCGAGCCGTTGGGGCCCTTCACAATATGAGCAGCGACGTTGACTCCATCCGCATCATCCGGCGGAAGGACGGAATTCCGCCTCTTATCAAGCTCCTCCGAAGGTCCGCACAGCAAGTTCTCGCTCTCTCTCTCTTTCGATCACTGCGTTTCTTTTTGAGGTTTGGAGTTCGAAGAAAACTGATAAGAATGTCTGCAACTTGTGTATGCACGGGTTCGACTAACGTTCGCACCTAAAGACTTGTCAGAGAATATTCTCAAGATCGATTACTTTACTTTGAGACGGCCGATATGTGAGTTTTTCTTTCCTGCACCCTCAGCTTATACGTGGTGAGATCAAGTAAGGACCACCTCGACGTAATCGCAAAGTACACAGAGGGATTGCGCCTTGTTTCGAGGAATATTTTACGCGGAGAAGAAGTAGAATCTTAAGTGGCCAATCTTAGATAAGTACATTCACAACAAGACCAGAGTATTTTAAAAGCCGCTCACATGGAGCATTTCCTGCGCAGCCCGCAGCCCGCAATTGCCGGCTCCGCAGCCGGGGCGTTGCAGAACGTGAGCCGGGAGGTGGCGAGCCGGCAGAAGATCCGGGGGGACAGCGACGCAGTGCGCGCGCTCGCGGACCTGCTGGTGGAGGGCAAAGAGCTGCAGACGCAGGTACGTACCGGGCAGTCGAGAACCTTTCCCTTGAATGTACATTGTGCCGTTGAGCCGCTATCTCCTTACTTCTTCGTTCTTCTGTGGGGTCAAGGTGAGTATCTAAATACCTAAGCAGCTGTACGATGAATTCTCGATTGAGAAGATTCGCAACAACTCTATGTAGGTGAGTCTGGCTTTGTTGTTCGCACTGTAGCTCGCGGAGGGCAAAGATCCGCCGTTTTGAGAAGTAGGGCACTCTGGAAGGCGAGCTTTCAAGTCCGCAGAAACAATCTGCCGTGCGTTACTACCAAAATTATCACCATCCACGAAGTATCTTTTGTAGCCATGGTATCAAATCTTTCACTAGACCTTAACTGAAGCTGTGCCAATGGAAAGCGCCCGAATCGTTGATGTGGGTGCTTTGTTCACGGCGATTCTCGATGCGTTCTTGCTGAATCCACTGCCCAATTACGGTGCCTTTAGGCTTCGATCGTTAGCGGTTGGATATGCTAGGTTAACGGTAACTTTCTTGATGTGCGGTGCAGGTTTGTGCGGCGGGCGCCCTGTTGAACATTTTGGGGCCGGAGCTTGCCGAGAAGGACAAGGGCGGCGACGAGGCCGCTCGCAAGGGCTTTGCGCGAATCATAGTCAGCTGCCTGGTTATAAGCATGGCATACGACAGCGTTTTCGGCGCTGGGGGTTTTGCGACCCCGGTGTCGTGACAGGTGGGCACAAAGGAAGCTGACAACGGACGCAACGGGTTGTTATTATCTGAGGCAAAGTGAACATGTCAGCCGCTCTGCCTCAAGTCGACCATATGTAATGTTACTCCGGCCGCCACGCAGAAACGGGCAAAACGGAGGTGATACCTGAGTGGAAGTCGTCCAATCACACAGGCGTGTCTGTGAAATGAGTCAAAAAGTCGGCACTCTACACTCTTCAGTCAACGTGTATAATCAACGGGAAGACAGGAAGAAAGGAACATTGTACAATGGAGCTTGAAGGAGCTTGCTAGGTTTGACAAAGAGCTGCACATGTCGCGGATCATCTCTCGCCAATACGCCACCGTGTGAGCGTGTTCAAAATAGTCATTGAGAACTGTCTACTACTATAAGGTACGTCTTTCTGGCTAGCTTATATCGATGAGTATACGTCATTGTAGTCCGGTCATTGTAACGTCGATTTGAGTGCAAGTATCAAGGATATTAAGGGCTCGACAAAGTCAAAAGTATCCTTTCCTTCTATTCATGTTCACAAACGGAATTGCCTGCTATATATATATATGTCGCACGATATGATAAAGAAGTATGTCGGTATATGTACGTATGTATGTATCCAGCTTATAATCATGACAACATCATATGATTTTCTCAATCTAATTCAATGATTGTTGGAGAAACAAAGCATGCATGCCATATGTGTGATGGCCCGGGTAGTCCTATTTTTAAGAACTGCTTTAGTAGATTTCACTTGAACCGATTATGTGCCACATATATGATCGAATCGAGGATCCATGCTTGCATATGCAGTACGTTGATTAATCAGCCGGCGGGCGCGGCGGCAATCCGATCAGAACCATGCGGCCCATGCCATATACTATATGATGCAAATGCATGATCAAGGGCCTGCTCGCGGCGCCGCGGCGCAGTGGCTAGCCGGGCAGCTCCTGACATAATCGCGACATGATTACGTCACATTATTTAAAGTATGCTTTTGGTTAATTAAACCGTCACAGACATGTATGCATGCAGCATGCACCGGGCCGCCCGCAGCTAGTGATGGCGTCACCTTGAATATACTGGGTAACTGGATACTCGGCAGATGGAATTTGACAGTGATACGACGAGCGCAATGATGTCGCCGGTCAATCATTGCTGGCCCGCAACCCTACCAACAAATCACCGGCAAGCTTTGTTTTTCGAAACTCGAATTCCTTCGAAGTTCATGATATGATTATAGTGCGACACTCTGCCACTGGCAAATGTGAGATTGTCACGTCTTCGATCACAACCAGTGGAATGTCTGATCAACCGACCACAATTGACTTGATTCAACAGCGGCTATTGCTAGGACGAGACCTTCATCACTCGCTATGTGATGACTGTCAATCCAAGACGCAAGTCATTCATATCCGCCAGAATCCTCTCTTGAGTAGTTCCAATTTGACGTGCAAGAGTAGCTTGCTCTACCTGAGAAAGCATCTCAAACCTGCATTTGCAAACATAAATGATTCGATTAGACCATGTGCCATGTTTTACATGGGCAAACCAAGAGTCGGGAGGCATTGGCATCAAGCGGCGAGTTGCTTGCGCTCGGATGGCTTGATCTAAAGCAGGTGCTAAGATTCTGATGCCAAAGGAAGCCCGGAAACGGCTGACCGCTGAGTTCAAAATGATGAACACACATGGTGACAAAGACACAAAGGTTCTTGAGCCACTCTACTACTCTACCCTGTTTTTGACGTTCCCACTACTTTTGCGACAATGCGATGCACAACAGTGCGACTTCGCAAGCAAGCGATGTGACGCAACCGGTTTATACAGCATCAGATACAAGAAGAGCAATAAAGTTGACCGACACAGTCTTTTCAGGGCAGAGATTGGAGGACGTACTCAAACAAGGCGTCCAGGTCTGCCACAGTCTCCGGCGGTGGCACCCTTGTCGAGCAGCGGTCGGTGACCTTGCGAAATGCGCGCGGATGAAGCCCAGCCACGTGGTCAAGCGTCTCGCTCAACCGCCGAGAAAGAGCCTGGCAAGCAGGGTTGGCTTTTCAGAGGCGGCCGAATGCACTCAACGCCAAGCTCACGAAAGGGATGGAGATTTGGGAAACGTACTCAAGCATACGTGATCTCATGTTGACTGGATTGGCGCAGCATGGCGTAGCATACGATGAAAATCTTACATTGAAAGACAGTCCTCGACAGGCCTTAACGGCGATATAGCTAGACCTCAGAAGCCGACCCTTTGCACAACCCGAGCGCTACAGACCTGGGCTTAACAACAGTGGGAGATTGCGGCTTGTACTCGTTCTCAGCAGACTCACCTGGAGTCGCTTGAATGTCATTTCGTCCAAGGGGGCAAGAGTTGCCAGTGCGCCGTCGAGGGTACCAAACAAGCACGCGCTTCGAAGGCGTTTGGGACCCCTGCATACGTCCGGAAGCTTTCGTCAAGGCTAACGGGGATTACATAGTCTCAGCCGCGTGACGCGGCGTGACGCCGAACTTCGATGCTAAGCGTGCACTTAATTAACAGGAAGTGGGATTTGCCTCCCAAAACAAAACCTGCGGCTTACAAGTATGTGGTAGAGCTGTTTGAGTGGAAGAACATTTTGAAATTCTGATACCTTAAAGTTTGAGGCTCTCATACTTACAAGATGGGCTCTTCGGATAAGAACCGCTCGTTCAACAGCACGTGCTGCTAAGCCCAGCTTGCACAGGATTCAAACACAGGAGGATCTTAGAACGGACAGGAGAGGGGCGAACGGGCACCTGGCGTTTTGCGTCATCTCGACTCGTAAGCACTTGGCGATCCCGGCGCCGGTATAAAACTCGGCCTTGCACACCAGCTGCAAGCTGGGCGGGGAGTACTCGTACACCTGCGCCAGGCCGGCAACCGAGGCTCGGTCCAACAAGTCCTCTTTTAGACGGTAAGGCAATTCCGACTTTGTGCTTGGCAGGACACGCTTCTGGTAGGAGCAGAGACGGTTCTGCTAGCACCCTCTAAGCGAAGCATGTTTCCCTTCAATCTTCAGAACGCTGAGCAGATTACCGAAGAGCGCTCGCCGACAGAATCTCCAGATAGAAGAAACTTCCCGACGGAGTTTGTGAAGGACATTCGCGTGGAACACCAGGGTTGGGTTCAGCAGCATTTATCGCCGTCCAAGTGCGCGCGCAACATGCGATCCGTACATGTTGAACAGATCCGTACCCGGATGGTCTTCTCGAAGTCGGCGGCGAGCAGCGCGACCGCCTTGCCGTCGGTGAGCGCGGCGGTGGCGGCGACGGCGGCGGGCGCGTAGTCCTTAGCGAGCTCGCGCAGCTGCGCCATGGCGGGCGTGTCCACCCACGCCAGAAAGTGCAGGCTGCGCTGGAAGTCGCCCACCAGCACGTAGCTCTTGAGCTGCGCACGCGGGATGAACCAAGTTATCGTCCACTTTCGTGCAACGACGTAAAGACCGCAGGAGGAAGGAGCGGGGGGACCGCGGTGAGATCGGGAGACGGGATCAGTGAAAAGAAAGAGAGAAGGGCAACGCTGTACAGCCAGAGGTTAGCAGGATGACGGCGCAAAGGATTAAAAATCAGAGGATAAAACCTCCAACCAAAACTCGAATACGTTAGAGGGATTTGGATCGACACTGGATCTTCGCTTGTTAGAGCGCCTGAAATTTAAGTGCTTCGTTCATTAGTTTCTGCTGCATCACCACACTCTGACTGCTGCAATGATGAGAGCTGTACTCAACGCAGCGAACGTGATGCCCGACGAAATCAACGAAATACCGTCAACCGAGTTGCAGCGGTGCGTACCGCAGTGATACTCGTCACGTACATAGGAGCGTCAAAGAAGGCCGCTGTCACCAGGCCTGCAAACAAAAGGACACCTTGGGTCAAATGCTAGAACCTTCTTATCATGTTGGCTGCGAAAAGAAAGCAGGTGCTCTCTTTCAATCCAAAGGTGGAGACAGCTCGGAAGGGCGCTGGCAGATCAGAATTTAGCATCCGTTCAATATGTCTGCAGCTGCACAGTCGCTCCTGTCCTAACAGATTCCAGAAGATTGGACAAAGTGAACAGCTTGACGGGCCACTTTGCATCGCTGCAGCTAGTGCGATATGGAAGACTTCAGAGCATGCCCTTCGAGCAAAGGCTTGTCGGTAGAGGGCTGACCATCCAACCGTTTTGCAGACTTTCATTGACTCGCAGCCAGACGACAAGCGCTCCGTCACAAGAACATTGGTTCCCCAGCCGAAGGCCCGGCCCCTCACTCTGTCCGTCCCAGCGGTAGAGTATGAGCTTGCTCCCGACCGCTGCCAAGAGGCAGCCCTGCACTGCCGACACCGCTGTGATGCCCGCGCGGTGCTCCTCCTTGTACACCGCTGTCAGCTGCGCACGCACACGTCGGTCACCAATTACACGGAAAGAGGTATCAGAGCGTCACGCGAGTGAGAGTATACCGGTGCGCAAGCATAAAGCTCGGAAATGATCTAGGGTATGTGCGAGCATGGCCGCCAGACACATTTGAGCATGACGCGATGACATCCTGTCGGAGATTTTGCTTCTCTTCAGATGCCTTGCCTCCTATCCTCTCTTCCGGGTCATATATCCTTGATCACTACACGTTAACTGGCTCTTGACATCATTTTGCCGTTTCGATAGAGCATGCAGACATCCAATGCCTACATTGATACACCTGCACAGTTTAAGTCAGGATCTCAAGGTGTGCAAAGCTCTTCAAACCCTTCCGGCCGCCGCCCATTCCGAAACCAACGCCGATGCAGCGGCTCACCCAGGCTCCGTCCTCTTGTTTGTCCACTCTATACAGCAGCACTCGGCCCTGGCCGGGCGCGTCCTCCCCCAACACATACGTCGTTCCCACTGCCAAAAGCGTATCGCGCTGGTCGTTGGTAATGTTCTGCAAGAGCGATACAGATGGACACTCAAACACAAGAATAAAAAAGGTGCCATTGCGGTTCGTTCTAAGAACATGTGGGAGTGGACGGTCGCAGGAATCTGCTCGCAGAACGCTTCTTGACACTGAAGTAAATCAAAGCTTTATCCTTTCCCGGCCGTACGTTTCCTACAGACGTTGGGTTCATGGACCTGCCAGTAACACTAAGCACGGGAGGATCGCTGCACTTGTCGACGACGAAGACAAGTGCCGCTCTGTGGACAAGTTGCTCCACAATACAAGCCAGGGTCCCAGCCTTTGCATATTCGGATCAACAGCAAATACGAGGATTACCAGCCTGCATTGATGCAATACTATTTCAGATCAACAGCAGAGAAAGGAAGAACACGCCGCCCAGCACGAGGCTGGGCTGCCAAAAAGCAATCCTGACCTTGAGGGTGACGGCGCTGGCAGCTGCCACGTGTTCATAGCGCAGCAAAGGTAGCCTCTGGAGCATCTCCCAGCTCCCGGGGGCCAGCACTCGCAGCTGCACAAGCAACAGAGCTGGTCAAATGAACGCGCGCAACGCCCTTTTTGAAAGACAGGTTTCTATCCATCCCAACCGTTGCGCTTTAGCGCCTCGCTTGATCGTTGACGTTCGAGAGACCCCTGGAAACAGCTTGGAGCCCCAGGTTTCCGTAACAGCAGAAATTCCCCGCTGGGACTTCGCCGTGAGTGCTTTTGTGGGTTGTGAATGTAAGATTTATCTAGACCTTTAACAAAGAGGCAGCGACCTTGCTAGAAGAGCCAAGGCTACAAGCAAGGCATCTAGTCCCTAATCTCACAAAACTCAAACCTGTTGGGATCCTACACTCTTCGCTCCAATTCCCTACCGAAATAAACGCGCCCAGAATCCTGAAGCACGCTCGCACACGCAGCCCCCTACCTCGAATTGCTCCAGGTCGCAGTATACCGGCCCCGCCTCTCCCTGCCGCCCCCGCGCTCCAGCACCGTCCGGGTCCTCGGCTGCGGCTTCCTCGGGGGGCGTCCCCGGGGGCCGGCTGAAAGGGAGCTCAACCTGGACATCAGACTGCAGGAATCAGCTTCCGAAGGTAGTCGCTATGATGAGGGGTCCTGTGTCAAAACCTGCACCTTTCGAAAGCGACAGTGCACGAGAAATGAAGGTACTCTGTCATCTAAAAGTCGCAATGCGATGACTATTTCGGGGTGAAGGTTATGAAACACCAGCTCGTCTGGCTCAGGCATAAGAGACTCCCGAACGGAGGGGTTGCGCTTACCGGCACAGAAACGGTCACGGCGTAGACGTCAGGTTCTGGGAAGTGTGCGACGCTGTGAGGGGTGGCCTTCAACGGGACCTGCAGCAGAAAGGGAAAACTGAGTCTACTCAAGGTCTGGGTCCCGAACAGGAGGATTCCTGACAAGCCCTGCACTGCGCACTGGCAATTCTCAGATTTCGATGGAAAGAGATATAATACTCACCAATTTTGCCGTGTGGGACAGAAGATGTTCCATATTCCATGTGGGAAGAGATGCACCAAGTTCTCTGACCGTCATCTTTTGGTTGCGAGGCAAGCCCGGCCTTAAAGGCCAGCATCTCACCTTGATCACCGGCCACCCGGCATCGTAAACGGACTCCGTTGGAATCTGGGCAATGCGCAACACACCCTGCATGGACGCACGGGATCGGGCTGAGAACCGGATTTTGGTTCGTTGAAAACGAGTGGCTGCGCCGTGTGCTTGAAGCTCTTACTTTTACGTGAAAAGGCTCAACTTGGCTGCAGCGTGCATCTTGTAACTGATGAAACGCAATCACAAACGATTTGCCACGGGCCTATGAGCCGCCCATGTTGGAGGTCGCATCGGAAGACGCCTGCAAAACCTCATTTTAATTAAACAGCATGCAAGGAGGCTGTAAAGCACAAGAGGCCTGAATCAATTTCTAATACAACACAAAGTCGAGTGTCGAGCATACACGCTCCTTCTTACCGTGGGCGTCGAGTAGACGAACCCATGTGGGTTATGGACGTTGTGGAAGGGGGAAAACGCAGCGACTGGCCCGTCGGACAGCTGCAGCACGGCACCAACATGAGACGTGGCAGCAAGACTTGCTAATGCGTTAAGCATGGCATGATGACGAATGGAACACATGTTCAGATGACGGGGCATTTTGACCTTCAGTATTGCACCTGCGCCTGCGTCTGGCACACTTGTTGCTGTCAGTTGTGCCACAGATGATACTTTAGCAACAACAGATGCACGTCGAAAAGTTGCAATAAATTCCTTTTATGTCTGCTGTCTTCTATAGACTCAAAACACTCATCTCGAACTAGACACCAGTCCAGCCTTGCCGAACCAGGAACGAGAGCTCGCATTAATTGGAGCGTTTCTTTTCGCGTACCTGCGGGTGTGGCCGCAGCCTGCCTTGGCACTCCACAATCCATGCGGGCCGCTGCGCGCAAATATATACCCCCCGCTCTTCGTTCACCCCCTCGAACGTAGTCAAGCTTGGAATCAGTTTGGCACCATCCGTACTTCCGTCTTCCATCGCATTCACCCCAGCCAGCGCAACTCTCACCCACCTTAAACGTCGCTTGCTTTGCGGGGGAGTACTAGCATTTACATGACTTTCCGTTGACGGCTTACTGCCTTTGACGATCTCATCGGACTGTACAAGAGAAGCGCCTGAAAGTGGCGACCCACATTTGCCCTGATGCGCATGCTGGCCGCTTAAAAAGCCCCGGTATGCGAAAAGAGCGCCGGAACTTAAAACGGCGCACAGGAACGGCTGGCTAGGCCCCCGCTCTGCACTGCTGTTCGAACACCGGACGACGAGGCTGGACACGTGGACGTCCGGCAGACCGTTATCAACGGGCCCAAGAGTATCTGACCGGTCCGTCACGACCCGCCGACCCTGGATGAAGTCCATAATCCTGTAGAGCAGCTCGAACCCGGGAAGCTTGTAGATTTCTACTGCCCCGCTGCTCCTCGCAACTGCTGCACAGACGTCCGAATTCTTCCCACCGGACGCCCCGCCCGTTTTTGGACGTCCGAAATACCCGCAATGGTCCTCAAATAGCGTCACCGCCGTGACGCCGTCCGCTGCTTCGCCCGCTAACGACACCGTCCCAACAAACACCTCCTTCTCGCTGACGTCACCCTCGCCAATCCGAAGCGTTCCGTCCGTCATGCGGAACAGCACGAAAGGGTCGCAGATGGCGGCCGCCGCGATTTGAACCTCTTCCGCTGGCGGCTGCCCTTTGAGTGGCGCTGTCGGGAACTCGAAGAGCGGTACTTCTTGTTGCAGAGTGGAGCCTTGCAGAAGGACGAAGCCGCCAGCGTGCACTTGCAGAATGCGGGCCCTGCACGCAGCAATGGCAGAATGATTCCAAGTTAGCCATGGTTATCAGTACAAGAACGTGCCCTTGACAAATTCCGAGATTTGACCGATGCTCTGGCCTGCGACCATGAGGAACCAATAGCGTCGCCTCAATTGCTGGTAACCACACAAACAAACAAAGTTCCTCCTTTGCACGCACTGGAGTAGACGTATCGAGGAGGCGGTTGAGGCTTGATCTGGTATTCGATTTAGTAGAGTGACCAGCGGCAATTTTCCCTTGTCCATCATCGAAAGACTTCGCCAAGAGACGCTTGTTGCAGGAGTCTCTCTGTATGCGGACAAGTAAAAATGGTTAGTAGAGCGCAGAAATGGGTGTCACTTGTTTCCCGACCCGTCTCATGAGCAGCTTTGGATGGTTTGTGTAGGATGGTTCTAGGTAGGATATGGTCAAGGCCCGGGGAACGGGTAGGGTTAGTTTGGGGTTAGGGTTGACACGGTTGCGGAGCGGTTATATTTGTCACTTTACCTTTTTGATTCTGTTGTTCCCCGGGGACTGTTACTGTCGTGACTAGAAACTATTCTAGCTAAAATACAGGATTATTTGCCGGGGCGTACCTTCCGAAGAGGTTCCCCACGGCCAGGCTGGGCCCGCTGGTGAAGAAGCCCGCGCCCTCATCGTCCACTTCAGCGATGTCCTCCCCCGTGCTCAACACCTGCAAAACGAAGACCGCTGTGAACAGAAACTTCTGAAGAAAATGGGCGCGCCGGCCCGCTATAGGTGTCAAGACCCATTGCAAACGGGTGGCTGCAACAGAGCACGGGGGAGGACATTTTGGTCGCGATTTTAGCAATGAGATTCGCATCGGGAAGTGACAGCAGCTCCTCAGCCTTCGTCTTCATGTTGCCCCGAATGCTGCCCAGCGCATACCATAATGAACCGACATCTTACGTCGGTTTGCACGCTTCCAGTTTTACCATGAAACCGGTGCTCTCGGTGCCGGTTTGCTGTTTCTCTTCAAAAATCTGAGAGTCTTACCGATATGTTGTGAAGAATGATTTCAAGAATAACAAGAAGACAGCGAGGTGCAACTGAAATGTGCAAAAGCGATTTGCCGTTCCTCACCCGTGTCCCGTCTTCCAGGCTGATGAAAAGGTAGTCGTGGAACGCCTCGCCCTCATCCTGTCCGTCCGCTGCTTCGGAATGGACGGCCCAGATGCCGCGGCAGGGGCTGCCTAGGTCCACTTCTGACGTCACTGCCGCCCGGATGCCTTGATGGAGAATGGAGAGGGCGCCGTTTTTGGCGTGGCCGGAGCACAGGACCTGCAAGATTCGAGTAGGCTCGCTTTGCAGGGCAACCGAAAGGGCAACCTTGAATGAGATTGCGATGTTTGAAGCTCTGCCATCTGCTTTCATCCATTGGCAGTAGCTTGCACGGATGAGACGAGGAACAGGGATGACCGCGGTCTATCAACGCCCATATCAACCTTCGGATTCCTTACGTGGTTGAAGGGTACGGGAAGTAGCAGCACCGGAAGAAAAGTCCGACGCCGTGCAAGGAGAAACAAGGACTTGCGAGAAGAACCGGCATGGGGCAAGATTCGGTTGGTGCCGCCCAGTGGGCACTTTATCTGGGCACTTTGTCCGGGCACTTTGTGTGGGCAGCTCACCAGCTCCGTTTCAGTGATGGCCGGCGCAGTCTCGTCGTCCGGGTCGACTTTTGTCCGCCTCCCAATGACGAGATCGCGCACAGGGCCAATGTTGACCATGGTGTCGCAAATTGCAAAAGACAAGCTCTTCCAGGAGCTAGGGTCCTGCAGTAAGAACGGACACTCCCAATCATCAAAACTCTCTGCACCAGCATTGCCGTTGCCTCAGAGTAGAATATGCGACCTTGTAATCTGTGCATCTTTCAACGGGCTGCCAGGATCCCCTTGGTAGCTGCAGCACTGCTCACTCACTGCCGGCAGGTGTGCAAATGTCCGTTGTAGCCGTGCCCGAAGCAATGTACAGCAAAGATACAACCATTATCCCAAACGAATTTCAACAACCAAAGCGAATAGTTCTGCGCAGATTTTTCCGGCCTTTCGTCTTCATCTCACGTCCGCTTGCGACCGGTCACTGACCTCTTGCTCCGCCCCGCCTCCCCCGTACAGCGACAGCTCTTCGTTATCGTCAGCAACGGCTGCAGTGACGTCAGTGTAGCGCGCGCGCTTGGCCGGGGGCTCGCCACTTCCAACCTCCTCCTGCGTCGCAAGCTAGTATAGTCTGTTGAGTGCAATTCATGGGGAAGACTGTTGACGGAAAGGGAACGTCGACCTGACCGTTCTTAGGATGGCTACAACTGGTGCAGATCAGTAGACGCAATCAGCCACTCAGAGGCTGCATGATTAAACTTTAATTGAACAAACTGCGGTTCCGTTTCGCTGCAACCCGAACGGCCATTCTGACGAAGCATCCCAACCCGATAACGGATGCGCTTAACATGATCAGAGTAGGAACACGAAGACACCAAGCTGCCTGTGCTATCAAATTCTGGATATTCGAGCATCTGCACGGTCAAAAAAGTGTCTTACGAGAACGAAAGCCGCCTTTGGTGTCAACTATTTCATTGGCAACAGTCCTTGCTTCTGACTCCCTCAAAAGAGACCGACAGACACCGCAAAAAGGTGGCAGGCCGTCTTAGTGTTCATATTGAGTCCTCTGTCTCAACGTCCCCTTGAAAGCTGCATAACAACCCTTCGCGTGTTCACCTCGACCTCGGTGCGCTGTGTCGTCGCCTCGGTTGCAGTCCCCCGAGCGTACTGCAGCAGCATGCTGTCCCCCAGCCGGCTGCCCAGGAACACCAGGGAGTCGCCAACCGGGCACACGGCCGAGGCCAGCACCGCGCCCTTGGAGCGAGACAGCTCCAGCGAGTCGACCGTCCTGGAGCAGAGCAGAGAATCATTTTTAAACCCAACAGATCCAAAAGTCTTTACATTCAGAAGGGCAACTAAACCCAAACTAGACCCAAACACTTGATGAAGCAAGGCGCAATGCGCGATATGCGCCTTACGAAGCTGCGTACCTGTGCTGTAAATGCAACTTTTTATTTCCGTTTGCATTTCTTCCTCTCTTTCACACAATGACGTGGCCACTGACACCAGATCGAAGCTGATCGGAGGCACCGTAGGTGGACTGTCAAGTGAACTACCTCCGTTTGACCACATTCGCCTGCTTCGAGTGCAGATAGCCCATACTGCGCTTCTGAAAGCTATCAAGGTCCATCATTCAGGTTCCAAGGTATTGACTCGAAAAGTCCAGGGTAAAGTAGGGCCCACCTGCCGACGTGGCCCAGCGTCAGCAGCAGCAGCGCGCCCGTCTTGGATGAGATCAGCGCCGTATCAGCCGCGACCCAGGCTACTCTTGCAACGTCCAGCTCCACCTCAAAACTCGTCCGTGGAGGGACCGGCGCGCCCTCAGGCACACCGGCCAGGTTGTTGACTGCCAGGGTGTGGAAGCTTGTCTGCAAACAACAACCGAAAAAAAGGGGTTCTAGAAGTTTGGGGTCTTTTTCCACCTGGAATTGGCGGGTGAGGGGACCGAGCTTGAAGAATGGAAACCGGAGGACATTGGAATGTTGAACAAACTGGGTTTGTCTTTTTAACGTGAGGGTACTGATGAAGCAGACAGGCGGAGAATGGGAACCTCGTCTGTGTTAGGGGCTAGTAAAGACATACGCCTTCAGAGCTGGGTTGCATCTCAGACTGGACGGAGGGTCCAGCTAATCGGTAACCGAGGAGGTTAGTAAATATTCAAGGCCCGCTCCGCGCTGCAAGGCTGTGCGAGGATCGTGCGTACCAGGAATGCGTCGGACGCGCGTAACCATCGCGTGTAACGCTTTGTCGAACGTCAAGAAATTCATCCGAGACACTTGCCTGACTGAAGTAGTGCACTGTGTTGGCTGCCAAAACGAGCGCGCCGCCCAAAGGGGACGGCACGGCGACCGCCTGATATGCGTCATAGGGCAGCGACGTCGCCGCGAAGATCTGGGGGTGCTGCCGCAGGGTGGTGTTCACGCTGAGGACGGTTGCTTCGCACGTGAAGCGGCCTACGGCGGCTCGGCCGCCCCACGTGGGGTCCGGCTCATGGAGAACTAGAAGGGCGGGCTCCAGGTAGCCTGCATGCATTGAGGTCGCAATTTTGAGGGGACAATTCTTAGCAAGGGACTGAAGAAGTCTTTCTTCTAACCCGAACCGTCAACCAGAACATCATGCTCAGAAGTTTCAGTTCAACTATTCAGAAATCAAACGGTCACGGAAACCAGTTCGTCACTTTGAGGAAAGATCGCTGGAGGTGATAGTGGCTGATTTCCCTATGCAGTTTCTTCTAGCTCGAACAGCCGTTCCGGAATGATACTCTGAATAGCAGCGAGACGGAGCTGAACCACTCTGACATGAGCAGAGGGCCGGCGCAAGAGCCGAGCATGCTTCTCGGGTCCCCCTTACCGTGCAGGAAAACAATGTCCTTGACGTTCTTCACGCCGACCGTCCGCAGGTCCAGAAAGTACGTCTCTTCTACGGACGCTGCACGCTCGGGCGCAGCCGCCGTCTCCTCGTCGCCAAATCCCAGCCCACTCTGCAACGTCAGAGAGGAATCGTGTCCGTTAGACTCCCGCCTGTCATGCTTAGGCGTTAAAAGGTCCTTTGCCTGTCACCATCAGGCTTTTGGAGATTCAGAATCTGCTTTGAGAGAGTCATTTGGAGGGAAGCTGGTGCCAGATGACGGATCAAGACAGACTTAGGCTTGTTAATGGAGAACCTGACTGAAGGCCCCTCTTTGACGAAGAAGGGTGTAAGGACGGCTCCCTTATGAAGACACCCCTTCATAAAGACCCAAATACCCTTCCAATCGGCCTTGCCGTACACGATGATGGAAACCTATTGAAAATGGTTCCGGGGAGTGTATGACGAGAAGCAGTCCGCGGCCTCCGCCAGCAAGTGCTTGGATTGACTCAAAACGAGCTTCCTCGTCCCAAAATCGAAAATTGCCTGTTTTGCAAGGACGACCTGCCTCATCGTGCAGCTTGTGACCACAAACTCCGCCCACATGCGCTATCAACACCAATAGTACTTGCTTAACACACGCAGGACACTTCCCTCCCATTTCCCAACTCCTCGATACCCAAGATAAACTCGAACGCAAAAAGCGAATGGACAATATAGGTCGGCGGCCTCACCGCCTTGGCCTTCATGACCAGCAGCTGGTCGTCGTACAGCAGCGCCGCCGCGCAGCGCCCCTGCGGGTCAGCCCTCACGAGCGGCCCCCGCGGAAACTTCTCGAGGCCGCGCTTCAGGTGCTGCCACCTGGCGGACTCGAAGCAGTGCAGCGAGCTGGCAAAGCCGAGAAGACCGGTTTTCAGCGACTCGATTGTGAGATTGCAGGGGGAATTTGACTGTCGAGGATTGGCTAGACGGGCTCGGACTGCGCTGAGGTGCTGCTACTTGGCAGAGTCGAAAGAAGTGCAGCGAAGTGGCAAGCAGAGGGGGACCAGTGGTCAGGAGTGTTTAAACCAGGTGCTGCGGTTGGACTCGAAAGTCGAGCAGGAGAGAGATTGGCTCTGACTGCGGCTTCGGGCAGCATATGAGATTTGGGAGCAACACGACAACAAGAACGTTTACTGATGGTGCCGAGGCATGACCAGGCTCGAGATGAAGTGGAAAGAGCTTAGACAGAACTAAAAAGCTGTCTGAGCTCGAACGACATCCAGCGACTGCTGCGCTCGTTGATTGCGACTCAGAATAAGGCGTGTCCAGAAAGTACAACACTCACCCAACAGCCTTCACCGAAAACTCAATTTGCGGCCAATGGAGTACAAGAGAATGAAAAGACTTGTGGCGACAGCCCACCTCGTCCGCAGCTTTTGTTTGTCCTCGTCCCAATCCACCACGCTGAGCTTCGCGTCCTGCAACGCCAGCACGAGCGCGTCGTGCTGCGTGCGACGCCCCGTGAAGTCGTCCTGCCGCGACTTGATCACCGCTAACGACGCCACATTTCCATTGAGCCTGAGACGACAAAGCAGATGGGCTTTCAAAGATGCAGCAGATTACCAAACAATTAGCTTTCAGAAAGGTAAGATTAGGATCCTATGGGGGTTGCTTCGATATTCTGCCTTCTATGTAGTGCATAAGTCATTAGTTGGAAAGGGAGCGACGAAATTGACGAAAGACCTTCCACTGCCAGGTGCCAAGGCATGAGCAAACGGTATAAAATACACAATCAGCACAAGAAACTTTTCACGACGACATAAAGAAGCCGGTAGGGCCTGCACCTGCTCTCAAAGGCCAGCTCCAACCATGCCGCAGGTGTAGCTCGCTCCTCATCACCCTCTAGTCCTGGTTTCAACCCCTGTGAAGTCCTGATGACGTACACTTCCAGGATGTTTGCCTGCGCATGCTTCAACTCAATGTTAGAGGGAGCTTGTACCCAGCATATGAGTCCTTTTGAGAACAAGTTCTGTCTTCATTTCTCAAACGCCCACACCACCGGAACTGCTTCACATCCCACCCTTTGATCCGCTTTCAAGAAAGCTTCCGCACATGCCCCAAATCCACTTTACGGGGTTCGCTGAGGGCTGCAAACCTTTGGGGCCCCACTCGTGGAGATTCCGTGCGAGCATGGTGCGTTTCCAGAAGTGAGAATCGGCAGGCTTGCGGGTGCATGCCTGTAGGGCTCTATCACACCAAACTCTGCGGCCTTGTGAAGTCATGTGCGCAAACAGTACTTTAAAAAGCTGAGAAAGACGGAGGCCAAAACCATTACTGTGTCTCCCCACCTTGACGACAACTAGGTTGGGCAGGAGGTTTCCTTCTCTGTCCAGCCCGGACGCAGCTGCCCAGGTCCCGATCTCGTGGGGGTGGTTTGATGGATGGAGTGCGGCATCCTCGGACAATGCTTTCCTGTCCCCCGGGCAGTGGGTCAGGAAGCCTGTGGTGCAGTGATCCACCCCAGTGGGGGGCAGAAGCTGCACAAATGTAGGCCTTCGTTAACCGAAGAGTGTTTGTTCTGAAACCAGGTTTGTTGGTCCTGGTGAATGGTCCAATCAATTGGTAAGACAGGTGATGGTGGTGCTCTGTTTGACAGTACTCAGCAAAAAAAAAGGATAATCATCTGCCGCTATCTGATGCTAAAATGCCAACTACAATAAAATTTGAAGAAGGATGAGCTCTACTGCAATTGCCTGAAAGAGCTTTGATGAAGTAAGCTTAGCTTTCGACGACCCAACTGACGGAATGCAAGAACATTTCGAGGCATAAGCTGAGTGCCATGGGGCTCTTTGCAGTGATAAGAGGTGGCGGGCACAAAGTCGCACAACCCACTGGAAGGCGTTGGCTACAATTTTTTGAACAAGTTCACTGATGCACCCCCTGAACGGGTCTGCCTCCGCAAGCTTTCCTGTTCATGCTCAAATGCCTCCATGAAGAAGCACAAGCGTGCCAAAGAAACGGACTTTAAAACAAAACTTGATGACACAGATGTGTGCAATGCTGTGGAATGAGGCACTGATGGTGCCATATGGTGGTGGCACTGCCAGCATCAGGTCTTTGAATTCTACCAAAAAACCACAGCACGTCAAGAAGTGGCTACAATCCGTGGGCACGTCTATAAGAGGAGCTCAGAATCTACCTCTCCCAAAAGGGATTGGGAAAAAAGGTGGTGTGAGAACGACAAGATTCAATTGGCGCCCACTCATGTGCTTGGACATGCCACCGATCAACAGGCAAAGTGGAACCAACACCCATTTGAAAAACCATGTCTCACGTGTTTAAAAAAGGTCAAGAACCAAGTGGCATTCCAATCAAGTGAGCTTACCGTTGTGAAAGCAGAGAAGCTCATCGTGTTTGGAGACCGCCAGAGTCTATCAGAAGGAGATTGCGTGACCAGCTCATCAGCGTTGATGGTCCCGCCGACCAAAGACCAGAGCTATGCTGCTCAGAAAATGGAGCCAGCTACCTTTTCAAGGCTTTTGACCAGTTTTGTCTAGCTGCGCTCTAGCTCAATCAGAAGAGCAGGGCAAAAATCTCTGGCAAAAGTATTGATCCATCGTAGTGATGCCACTGATGGCCAGAGTGGGATTTGAACCCACGCCCTCTCTCGAAGGATCTCATTGGAATGTTGTAGTCCGTCCGTCGGATGTGCCTCGGGCCACAGGATCTTGTAATCGGAGCCGTTTGTTGGCTTCTAAGGAACCATGCCAGGAGAAAGGACCTGCAGTGCGCCCTCGGCATGAAAATGGCGTGCCAACAAAAGGGACACAGACGATGGCCAGAGTGGGATTTGAACCCACGCCCCATTGCTGAGGGTTCTTTTTGAAGTTTTCTCCGCCGTCGATTGGACTCGGGACCTGCTCAGCTCTCATCGTGTTCGTCCGATAGCTCCTTCGCTTTGGTAGGTATGCCTTTCGCATGAGTGAAAAAAGGAAAAAGCGCGTGACCAGAGTGGGATTCGAACCCACGCTCTCGAAAGAACCAGCATTTACACCGACCGTAACGGGCCTGAAGCTGGCGCCTTAGACCGCTCGGCCATCTGATCGCATGTCCTCATTTGGCCCTGCAAACAATATATATTTTTTTGGTACGAGTTGGACCGGACGGTGAATTCCGCCGGCATTCCGCCGTTGAATGGCCGGATCGAAAAAAGTTGGCCCGCGCGCGGGCAACAGGGCCGGACGAGGCCCGCGGGCCCTGATCGATTGTTCCAAGCAAGCTCTGAGCGCGGCCCGCACATCGTTTTAGCATTAGCATGCGCATGCAGAAAACGACATGCTGCAGCCAAAGATTGATCGAGTTGCTCTGTTTGACTAGTTGCACAAAGTTGCTTTCTTGCGTGCATGCAGGTGAAGGTGAAGGCGCGGCTCAGGGCGGCCAATCAAAGAGTGCAAGTTTTGCAACACTTAAATTGGGAAGCAACTGAGAAGGACGACTCGAAAGACACCACACGAGAAGCGTGGGCAGTTCATTGAGATACTTCAACACGTGCGTGCATACCATCATCGCACAAGTACATATTGTCCTGCTCATCATGAGCAAACGTTCTTGGCCTGTGCATGCGTAATGCCGTGTTCTTCGACTTATTACCATATGTCAATTCTGTTGTATGAGGAGCACCGTCTTACTTAAGTAACCTTCAATAAGCAATGGTTATCCGACTCGCTGCTGTGGTTAGAAATGTTACTGCCGTTCTATGGCTCCCGCGCGGAAAGATTGTCTAGTGCCGTCTGTAGCAATCGACGCATCTAATGACGTGTCCAAGATCTTTACTAGAGTACACACCCGCCAATGGACATTGCACAGCCGTTGCATACGCGCAACCTTGAAACGCAGCCGCACTGAGGGGTAAAGCCGGTTGTGGCTGAAGCACGCATCTGTTGTCCTGGTTCGCCTACCCTTACACTCGATGTTACAGTCCCTATGCTTGAACGCAAGACCTACGTGTACCATACCTACTAAAATTTCGCCCAGCCTCTAGGATCACATCACACTTCGCGCGCGTTGCCTGGTCACGCGTCCGCACCGGGGCACCCGCGAGCCTGGCTGGTAGACGAGCTCGGCCCCGCCCCTTGCTTCGACCTTAGGTTCTGTACCACGTCCCACGCCCAACTCCGGAGTTGCAAGATCGGGTCTTCGCACCCCTCCTTTGCCAGCTTCGAGTACACATCGGCGGCTCCGCTCATCATCAGCAGCAGGTCCTGCGGTTTGACCGGACCCGTGTGGCCTCAGTCGACGTACGAACACTGAGGGCCTTGGGAGCTCTGCCGAATGTAAAAAGCGGACCGGACGGGCCACAGCCGGAGAAAACCACGGGGAAAAGGGTGGCGTCACAGAATCGTCCCCGGAGTAGCCTCTCTGCAGGAAACGAAGCCTCCAGGAACATTAGCGGATGGAGACGGAAGGACGCAGCCCTTGCCCGACTTGAACGCCACCATGGCGTCTCTTGACGCTCTGACGTCCACACAGCCTACTCTTTCACTCTTTTGGATCTTTGAGCTGTGAGTGGCGGTGCCTTTCGTTGCTTGCTATCTTACCGAATGGGAAGCTTTGTGAAAAAAAGACGCGGGACAAGACTTCGTTTGCACACCTCGCCACAACGTCTGTTTTGTTGACCGAGACGTTGAAGTCATATGGATCGCCCAAGTTTACTCGCTTTAAAGCAAAGGAGAGCCGTCCTCGCCAAGTCAAAGAGCCGAGCCATCCAGAAGTCTACTCATTGGAGGAAGACTGCGCCGGTGTTTACCTTTCACATCGTTGATGAGACGAGCAGCGGCAGCTTCTTTCCTTCGCAGT